CTGTGTGTGTGCGTTCGCGCCAACACCACCCGGTCAACTTCCCCCACTATGAGGTTTGAGAGAATCCTTACTAACACTACTACGAACAGGTACCCAATACCATCAGAAGTAATAGTAGTAGTATCAGCACCACCAACAGCAGCAGCAGCAGACACAGTCTCTCTCACTCTCTCTTTCTCTCTTACTATTCACCGTCGCCACACCCCACCAACGTGACCTGCCCGAGAATCAATACAGCTACCGACCGGCGCCCCAACCCCTACCATCAAATCCCCTCCCAGTGATTCCGCCGAGCTTCACTATGTGCACCTATCTGTATCTGTTCATAGTCGTGCGCTGGCGCACGTTTCACCCACCACCACCAGCAACCCCTATTTTACACGCTACGCAACACCACCCTCTTCTTCTCCTCTTTTCACCATTCTCGAGTGCCGATTCCCATTCTGGATTCGCAGCTTCAATCCTCACCCCTTACTCCTCTCTTCACAGCCTGCTCCTACCACCCTCAACACACACACACATACATACAACAGAGKTGGTGTTCCATCGACCAACCCTCACGTCTTTCCTCGTGTCTGGGTTCCTCTCTCTTTCTCACACTGTCTGTCTCTTCTCTCTGTTTGGGTCTCTTTCTATCTTCATACTTATCCGAGAGTATACCCTGAATACAAGCTCACTCGGCCAACCACCCCGAACGATCCTTTTAAATCGTCGGTTACGGGAAAATACCTACGACCGAACAAGTACCATGGACTTCAACAGTTTACCCGAATATTTCCCCACCATCGATAAAAACAAAAAGCTTGCGTTTCAAATATATTCGTAGTTTGCTCTTAAAATAATCATTTTATATAAAACCTAGAGGAATTCTATAACACTTCAATAAACAGAACAACACGTGCAGTCACTAGTACAATCTAGGGTCTCCAGGTATAGGACTGAAAAATTAGTTTGAAGAATATTAAAGTGAGACATTACTTTAAAGCCCAATAATGATAAGATCCTTTAGAGCTTCATAAAACCTAAAACAATGACTTATAAAGACCTACATTCAGTAATTTCTATATTACAACTGCAATCTAGGGTCCCTAGCTATAGGAATGCAATATCAGTATGCAGAATATTAACTTGATCATTATTTTAAAGCCTCCTGATGATAGGAAGCCTAGAATTCTGATGGGGTTAATCCTACGATCATTTTATCAATGTTCAATTCTTGGTACCTGTTCATTGCGTTGAATGAATTTTCCTTTTCATTTAAGGAAAGGTTAAAAACAAAAATAATCATTGAATGTGGGTATACGCGTTTAAGTTTTAGGTATTAGATGAAATAATAGTTGAAACGAAACTTGGGTAGGAGCTCATACAGCTACGTAGTAGTGTCTACTTTCGAAACTACCCCGTTAATGGTCGCTTCCGCGGATCGTCTAGAAACTCTTGGCTAAGTTCTGTTACGGAAGAGTAGTCCTGGCTTTAATCCCTTTTGGCAAGTTTTGCGAACTCGTATAAGCCAGCTTCCGGAAAGTTCTTACATCTCTCTCTCTCTCTCTCTCTCTCTCACACACACTCTTTCTGTCTTACTCTTTCTGGCCGTTAACCAAAGTGTCGATGATGTTCATCCAATGGATTCATCTAATTTATCTGCATATTCTCATATTGTGCGATTATCACAACAACAAATTGCATTATCATTTTAAAATGAACAATAATCATCAGAAAACCAGAAAAATAGGACAAAACAAAATCTGTTTGATAGCGGAAACAAGCTAACAGAAAAGGTTAAATTAAATTTCAATAAGTGGGGGTGTGGGGGTAAAGGTTTCTCTTCATGATGACCGTTCAGGCAGGAACTTTGAAAGTTAACTGGCCAAAGTAAAAGGTTAGGAAACGTTCAACGGGATATCCTTCATCTCATCCAAAGGACTCAACCCAAAACTTTCTATCATTAATGAGTTATTCTCCATGAAACTTTTGAATTCAACTCTTTCTCTTTTTCAACCCTCCTCCATTTCCTCTTCTAAAAACTCTCACCCCCCCCCACTACTGATTCATCTTTTCAAAAGTTCTTGCGTACACGTCGTCCAGGGAAAGAGTTATCTCGCTTCGAAAGAACTTTCTTCTTCTTCTTCTTCTTCTTTGATTTTTTTTCTTTTTAAACTGGAACCTTTTTTTTCTGGATAAGGGGTGAGTAGTCAGGAGAGGAAGAAAATTCGGCTGATTCTCTCTCTCTCTTTCTCTTTCTTTCTTCTGTTTTCTTTCTCTGAACCTTTTCAATCTCGTTAACGTTAAGACGCCATTCTTTTCTTACCTCTTTACAACCACCAGTTTGATATTCATAAATCATTTGCCTTACTCTTTTCTTTACTTTAGTTTAGTTTAGTTTTCTTTTTTTTTTCTTTTTCTTCCTACTTGTTACTTTTTTATTCCCGTTCACCTAGCAAGAAAGTCTAACCAAGATATAATCTCATGAAGGTAATGTTAAATTCGTGTTACGTGTTATCCACCAATCCCTTAAACGAAGAAATGACTCCGTTTCGCGTGACCTTTGACGACACGCGAAAACAAAGTTTCATACTATTTTTAATAATATTATCAGCTGACTTATTTAACTTATCCGCAAAAAAACAATGTTTTGTTTTAACGAAAATTAGATAGATTTTATTTAATGTTCATTGCGTATGATTTATTCTTATCAAAATTTATTTAAATGAGTAACTGAAGAAATGAATAAATCAGCAAGTGAGCAAATGAGCAAGTAATCAAGTGATCAAACGAGCAAGTGACCAAATGAACAAATGACCAGGTGAGCAAATGATCAAATAAGCAAATGAGCAGGTGAGCAAATGAACAACTGAGCAAATAAGCAACTGAACAAGTGAGCTAGTAAAAACAAATAATCAAATGAGTTACTGAGCAAGTGAGCACGTGATTAAATGACCAAGAGATCAAATGAGCAATTGAGCAGGTGAGCAGGTGAGCAAATGAAACTCTTCAAGTTAAATATATCAACCTTATTTTACCAGTATCATTTAATAATATTTCTGATCAATTAAAATAAAATTGCAATATAAAGAATAAAAAAGGAGGACGAATATTTTGGTTTGACCCGTTATAATAGGGATAACCCCCTTCGACGTTAAATATCGTTTCCAGGTTACGTGGATTGGCCTGGAAAGGAGCGTCACGCGTGTAAACTATGAAAGCTATGCGTCATCGGAACAACCCGATTAGTGACGCGACTGGCACGACGTGACCTGTCACTAACACGCGACGGCAATGACGATGCCCTGAACAGCTAAACAATTCCTAGGAACGTTGAATTTCAAAGAGAGGAAAAAAAGGAAAGAGAATGATACTTCCAGCATGATTTATTAACTACTCTCGTATTATTTTTATTATTCTCATTAGATCGTCAACATTAAAAAAAAAAAAAAATAAAAAAATATTACCTAATCAACGATCATTAATTAAACAAATAAAAAAAGAAAATAATAAAAAAATAATTATACATTCTACTCGAATGATATTTCAAAATTATTTCAAAATTAATTGATTTGAAATATTAGTGATATCATCAAGGATGCAATGCGATTACCAAAATAAAACAAAGGTATCAAATTTTTCTTTTTTTTGGAATAACTTAGATAAAAGTTCGACATAAAAAGACAACCACGAAGAAAAAAAAATAGAAAAGGAAAAAAGGGGCAGATAGGTAGGTAGGTAGGTAGGTAGGTAGGTAGGTAGGTAGGTAGGTAGGTAGGTAGGTAGGTAGGTAGGTAGGTAGGTAGGTAGGTAGGTAGGTAGGTAAGGTAAGGTAAGGTAGGGGATGAATAAATTCCTAGGGATAATCCTTTTCGTCGAAGGACGAAAATCGATTGGATGATGATCCGAAGGGTAGGGTTGAGGGAATAAAGGTGTGGGTGAGGGGTTGAGGATACCCTCGTTGAGAAACGGGTCGTCGTACGTTATATATATATATATATATATATACAGGGTGGCAAAAGAGAAACGCGACGTCTCGTCGGGAATTGAAGAGGGGTCCAAGTTGAGGAGTAGGGTGGGGCAAGGGAAATGTCCAGGAGAATGAGAGAAACAGAGTTACAGAATAACTGTGAGTGACTGAATAAGAAAATGAAAGAGTGAGTGAGTGAAAGAGAATGAGAGAGAGAGAGGGAAGGTAGCAACCGTTTCTATTCCGGGCTTTTGCGAACGATTCCTGAAAGCTCGAGGGTGCAGCGAGAAGCACGACTCTATTGATTTCTCGTATTAAAGGGAATCTACTGGTAAGCAAGTCAACTAACTACTTCCCTACAATATCAAACCACTCTGTTCAACATTTCCTCAACACTTTAACCCTTAAACATTTATTTCCTAATTTCTGTGGGTTTTTTTTTTTGTTCAAATTAATTTTTGTTCCAATTCGTCAGGTTTATATCGTATCACCTGGTATAAAATTTAAGTCAATTATCTATTGGCTATAAATTACGTATAATTGATTATTTATTTTTATATTAACTATTAATATAATTTAAATGGTCTAATTGGTTTAATATTTTTTTATTATTTAATATGACATATATAAAAAAATTGTTATAAACAAACTAGCAGCAAGATGAACATTTATAAAATACCCTATACCCAAAATACACCCGCATATTAGTTTTTAAATAAAAAAAAAAAAAAAAATAGGATTAATTGATTAATATTCAATAAAACGAGTTAACAGTCTTAAACTCTTTTATCAGTTTAAAAAAAAAATTTATTGCAAAGTTAAAAGACAGCTCCCGTGATCTTTCATTATCGTATCCTTCCTTTGGTTTTACCTTTAGTGAATTCCGTTCGTCCAACGACCTTTTCTACCACCTCACCCCCTTCCCCACTTTTCCCCTATCTCTCCCTCTTTCTCATTCTCTGTCTAACTCTCGTTGATGTTATCATCATCATTATTACCAGCCTTGTGTGACAAGTTTAATAATAGAATGAAATTGGATTTCACTCACCACGACCAGTGCGTGCGTCAGAGCAGTCGATGACCTCGACCTCCTTGGTGTCATTCCGACGACCTCGCCCCTCATGATACTCTCCACGACTGCGCAAAACAAAAATTTATTTCATTTACGCCATTTGTTCGATTAACAACATTCCTCACAATTTTTACATTTTTTTTTTTTTCAAATAAATCTATATTGTTTTTAAAAATTATTTACCTCCATCTCCGATCAAACGCATTTGTACCAAACTAGGATCTTCATTGTGATCTTCCAATACAGTGTCGTCGGTTACAGTCAAATCCTTGAAACAATAATTATCATTAAATTATTTGTTAATCCTGTAAAACATGATTTTAATTAACCTAGCTTTTTTATCCCATTTATTTAATTCAACAAATTTCACGTGGTGTGGCTAACAATTTTCTTTTCACGAGTCTGACTCGTGATTGATCAAAAATTCTTACACGAGTCGAAGTACAGCCAAAAAAGACAAGAAAGGATTGTTAATAATTATTGAAACAAAAAAAATAATTATTATTATTATTTGTTTATAATTACCTTGGTAGATTCGTTGTATCCAACAATAACAGCAGTGTACCACTGTGTCGTACCTTCCGCACGATAAACCTCAACACGAAACCCAACAAGGACACTTGGTGTCGTCAAGAGGATCCTCTGACCGTCCTGCATTTCAGCCCATCTTCGAACAGCACCGACCCAGGGCAAGCTACCCTTCGTTAATTCCCATTCCTGCTGCAAGAACGGTTTACAAATATTTCATTAATTTTTCAATGTGTTTATTATTAATTTCACAATGTAATCTTTTCGTTATAATTAACACCATAAAAATGTATTTCAATTTCAATTCTGCAATCGTTGATTTTTAACATTTTAGGCTCGGCTAAATATTGTGCTGGGGTTGTTTCTTTGTACGGCAGGGTTCAATGAGGATTAACTTAGACAATTAACATTAATAATTAATAATAAAATTAGATGTAAATATATTTTAAAAGAGATTATCCGCGAGAGTCAATATAGTGGCGCGTCGTACTAGAAGACATTCGGGAAAGCCCCTATAGTTACGCGTCCTACTGAAAAATGGCATTTGCGAAGCCAATACAGTGGCGCGTCCTACCGGTAGATGGCATCTGCGAAAGCCACTATAGTGGCGCGTAACGTCTAAAAGGTTAAAGTAAAAACTTCTTTAGAATCGGGGCTGAATGTGGAAATCGTGAAACGAAAAATGTAACAATCGATGAAACAAAAATGTGACACTAAAATGAGACAAACACATATACACCTATAGGATTTCGGTTTGCGAGAGAATGAGATAGAAGACAGTAATGCATTTGTTTCTTATTATCACGGTCTCCTCTTTGTGCGGTGCTTCGTAGTCTCCCCACTCTTGGCTACAAAGCGTTGTACATATGTGCACTTGTGTGCATCTGCATATTACGAAGTGTACACTCATATTACTACTTCTAATACTCTGCTGCATTTATCTCATTCTTTCAAAGCTTGATTTTTTTTTGAAGATTTCATTTCTATCTTGTGTGATCTGCAGACATGTTTTTTTTCTGGTTTTGTTAATTACATTTTTTGATTTTCAATTAATACAATGTAGAATACAATTCATTTTAGTGAAATCATTTATTTTTTAATCGATTAATCTTTGGAATAAAATGTCAAGAGGCAAATGTTAATGGCATGTTGTTTTTTTTCATTTGTTTATTTAAGTATTTAAATTTGTCAGGATTATTTTCGTTAAGATTCAATCGTCTGAAAAAGATTTCTACAAAATTATGTTTCTAGTTTTTTTCTTCTTTTTCTTTTTTTTTTCTTTTCTCTGTTCATATATCGCGTCCGGTCTTATCCGGTCTCTAACTCGTCGTAAAAAATTCTATGCAAATTGACGACCTTAGGCAAAGTGAAACTCGAAGACGAGTTCGTTCGAAAGACGAGTATTGCAAACTCATAGAATAATTTAACATTCGAGAAAATCGAATCTTCGAACATTATAAATCGATCTTTCTTGTAATAGGTTGTAACAATTGTAAAACAACAAATCACAGTTAGCAAATTCGTATTATAAATAATATATATGTATATTATTTATTTATATTTAAAACAAATTCATTTAGTAATTATATTCGTTTATATTTAATTATTAATTTCATATTTAATATTTTTTATTTATATTTATATATTATTAATTTATCTAATTATATTATTTATTAAAATTAATTTGATATCTTTATTTTACAACTATTTATAACTTCGATTAATTGCAATTTACAATTTAGGTATATTATAATTATTTATAAACTATTAATAAATTATATATATATATTTATTTATTATATATTTATTTTATTATGAAATAAAACCAATTAAAATTGATATTTAAATAATTAAAATATTAAATAACCAATTTGTAATTGAAAGTAATCAAAATGTTCCATAACGTACAATTTATTATTTAAAATATATCTACTTAAATTATTCTATATTCCTACTTAATTAATTAATTAATTATTATTATTTTTTTCTGTACTATAATAAAAAAAAACAACCTAAAAAAATTAATAAAAGTATAAAAAGAATATGATATAGTTAATCGGTTGAATAACTTTTTATCTTTTCAATGTTACAGATAAAAAAAAAAAAAATAAAAAAGAAGTTTGTCTGGTATTTTGCAAGAGAACTTTGTATCGGGTAATTTTAGTCGAGGGTTGGGTTAACTGATAAGCAGTTTACTATCGATCTTTCTCTCTCTCTCTCTCTCTCTCTCTCTCACTCATTCGCTCTCATATTTTACGAAACTTTCATCGAACACGAGTTTCTGAGTTAGTAGTTCGACAAGGACTTTCGAATTCCGTTAACGAGTTTCGTGATTAACTTCTTCAACATTTTTCAAAGAGAATTTGTTAAACAACTCGATTTATATGATACTACGATGTTTTATTACTTTACAAATTTTCCATTTATTAATATTCCATTTTTGTTTTTCTATTTTCTTTATCAAACAGTAAAACCAATTTTTTTCATTTCATAAAAAAAACAAACTTAATAATAATTTAATTAATTAACAAAATCAATATACAATCAATCCATAATTGTCAAACATTATTCAAAGTATGATAAATCCATTTAGGTATTAAAAATAAATAAAAGGTTTAACCCTTTTCCCAATTTTCCCAACCAAAAATTCGTTGAAATCGAGAGCGCACTGTGTATGTGTTTGTGAGTGAGTGTGTGAGAGAGAGAGAGAGAGAGAGAGAGAGTCTGCTGACCCTGAACTATAAATGTAACGGGTTCTTTCTCTCCTTGGTTCAGCCCTCCGTGGGGGCAGGCACATCCCCCCACTCCACCCCCTCAACTAATACTCTAACACTCAGGAAGAAGCTTTTACAGAAACACATACACATACAAACACCACCATGTTGGTCTTATTTTCACTGCCACCAAGTAAAGTTTCAGTTAGCTATAGTTATCAACCCAACAACCTATGGTGTTCAGTTACTTCCCATTGGTATTACAATGTTTCTGACTTTTTTATTGGCTACTGTGTTGTGTCGTTGTTTTCCAATGAACTCGAGTTGTTGTATGATACAAAAAGAAATGAAAATGAAGAAAGAGAGAGAAAGTGTACGTGTACGATAGGAAAGATTGGGCTGGTGGGGGGTTAGGGGTTGGAGAAGGATGAAGATGAGAGGTGGAAGGGATCGGGGACAGGTTGGAGAACGGCCAAGTCGAGGCGCCAACATATTCCCGTTGAGCCAACTAACGGTCCTTGGCAAAGCCAGCACATAACATGGGGGGACAAGAGGGAAAGGTGGGGGAAACTTTATGCCATCAATGTGCTATATGTATATACCCTACACGTTTCCCCACTTCCCCCTTTTAATACCCCAATAGCGTGCCAAGTACTACTACTACTACTACTATTACTTGTAGGATGTAGACCTGCTGTTGCTGTTTCTGTTGGTTGCTGTTGGTTGCCAGAGGCTACGAAATATCTCTGAGAACTTTGGACCCTGACTGTATGTCTGTCTGTCTCAACAGAGACAAGACTAACCGTAGAAAGTGAGATTACAACACGGTTACATTATCATATTATTCTGATTGGTTATTATGAATAATTTAGGATTGTTTTATCTATAGTTCTACTGTGTTTCTTATTTGGTTTTTTATACACTGTTGTTTCTAGGGGTTTCAATTTTTAATTGGATTTATATGACGAATATACCTGAACTTCTCTACGTGTGATGGAATTTCTGATGGTTCTTTATGATGATCCTATTTTTTTTTTTTTTTTTGGTATATTATCTTTTATGGCTCATCTAAGGGCAAGGTTTAGGTGATTTGAAATGTTATGGGAGAAGAAGAAACAGGGGTTTGAGGTGAATTGGAATTTCATTTTTCTCCGAGGGTAACTTAAATGGTTGGGAGTTGGGTCTGAGGTATTAGGATGATCGAGGTAAATTGGTATTTCATTTTTCAAGGTTCTCATCAATTGATTTAGGTCGTTGAACTAAACTGAAAAGAATCCTCGTCTTTAGAAATTACTGAGCCTTAAGAAATAATGAATTTCTCATTAAATCTTCGTAAGATTGAGATGAGGTTAAAAGACAGGTGGCCGGTTGAATTACCAAGAAACATCTAACACCTGATCGCTAAACTTCCCGTAAACGATTCGCGAACCTAAACCAAAGTTTTAACGGTTAAACTTCCTGACAGTTTAATTACTTGGAAACAATTACGACACCTTAACTCTGTTTCTCTTTTGAACTATGACAAGAAAATCAAACTGGAAGACATCAACCTGTCGCCAAATTATTCCTGAGAACCAAAACAAAGTGTCTTCTCATATCCCCATGTCCTAGAAAAAGAAAACTGAACAATTGGTCAAATTGTAATCATCCAAAAGGAACAAAAAAACAAAACTTGACCTTCTATGAAGACAATTTTGTTGATCAAAGGTACAACGAACTTGGAAAAGGGTTAACATCCTAAGGAACGAAAGGGAACGTCTTAGAAACACCAAGTCCAGATTGAAAGTTCAGGATAACTACCAGCTGCGTTCTTCAAAGATTACTAAACTACTACCATTGTGTACCAATGAATTCTTGTGTATGTGTGCTAAAGTCCGGAACCCGAAGGGGATAGGAGGGGGGAGGGGGTGTCGGATAGGCCAATGGCTTCAAAACTTCTTCCTAACTAAGTTCAAACCCCTTTCTCTAACGAAGTAAGTTTCTAACCGTAAAGCGGAAGTGGTCGCACTGGCATCAGCAACACCAACACCAACAACCAACAACAGTAGGGGTTAGTTGTGGGCAGACCATCAGTCGACTATGAAACAACCCCCTCTCACTTTTCGTCACCCCGTTTAATACTTCATCCTATTTCAGGACTCGTAAGATAAGAATTCACAAGAATAATCTGAATTTTTAATCGGTTTCAAGTGTTCCTAGGTTTTATGGGTTTGTTTTGACATTTTGGGTACTAAATTTTTGTTTACAGTGACCCAGTGACAGTTCACTTTGTATATAAACATTTTTTTAAACGTTGAGTAATAAGTGTCATTGATAAAAATAATATTTTGTAATAGTATATGCAAGTTATTAGATAGGTGTCGGATATATCCGGCATTCTTGCTGAAAATTTAAATTGGATGTTTTCTTGTTGTTTTACACGTGCGTTTTAGATTATATAATTAATGTTAAAAAAAAATAATGTTTTTTTTTTTTAATACATAATTAATGATGTTTATTAATAATGTTTATTAATATTCTTTTACACTTACGGTGAACGGTTTTAATTTGGAATAATCAACGAAGTCCAGTCTACGGTCTTGCATAAATTCTATCGGCATTGCGTCTTCCGGAAGTTCGGCACGTGCCACGAGAGGATAAAATGTCTGTAACAAATAAATATTTATATAAATAATATTTAATAAATAAACAAAAACCAAATTGATGTACCAGTTGATGAAATTCAAAACGTTGAATAAAAAAATATAAATTGTACTTCAAAAAATGAATAATTTACCACAACACCATTGTATTATATTCAATAATTGTTTCAATAATATTTAATTAAAAATTAAACATTTTATTTAAACATTTAACACACGAAACATAATTTGTGTCAGAATAAATTCATGCAAAAAAAAGAAAAAAAGAAAATACTGTGAATCATTTGCAAATGAAAAATTTGGTGTAATACTCTTAAAGATAAAATTATGAAAAAAAATGAATAATTAATAATAATAGTAATGTATTGTTTATAAAAATGTTGAAACACTTACGAGGGCAGGCCAAGCAACGGTGTTGGCAGTAGCAGTGGAACCTCTGAGTGGTTTCCCGTTGATCCGATGATGATGGTGATGATGATGATGATGATGGTGATGATTATGATTATGATGGTGATTATTATGGTGATGATTATTGTTAGAGTTATTGTGATGATCAATGGCGATGAGACTGGCGTGTCTTGGATCTGGTCGTTCGGCCCAACATAGGCCCTTTTCAACAAGAAAAAAAGAAAATACTGCATCCCTATGAGGGGACAACCACTCACGTCTTTGCCACTCAACGTCGTCGTATTCTACAAGGATCTGCAAATATTTAAATAAACAAAAATATTAATAATAATATTATAGAATTTTGAATTTATTATAAAAGTTATATTATTTAATTATTTAATTAGTATTATTATTATTAATGTATTCATAATAATGTATATAAAAATTATACAAATAATTATTATAATATTATTAAGAATATATATATTTTATATTATTATTATTATTAATTATAATTAATATTATTATTAGTTATATAATTTATATTATAAATAATWTATTATTAATTTATATTATATTATTAATTAATTATTATAAATATTAATATAAATTATAATTAGTATAATAATATAATATATTAATTTTAATTATAATTATTATTAATAACATATATTATTGTTAATTATATTAAAATATAATTATATTATTACATTTAAAAAAAAATTTTTTGTTACTTGAATCAACAACAAAATTTTAAAAAATTATTTTACGTAATATACAATATTTGATACGATCAAAATTTATTAATTATTCTGAATTATGTAAAATTATTTGTTAAAAAAAAAAAAAAGAAAAACGGAATGTTATTAGGAACAATCGAAATTTGAGAATAAACAATTATGGTTGCGATTAAGTGAAAAACAAAATACATAATAATTTAATTATAACAATACTTCATAAAATAATATATCACCCTTCAGTTTGAAACCCCTTGAAGGGTAAGGGTAGTGAAATAGGGTGTTTTCTGTCGTTTAAAACAGTAATTCCCTTGTGTGTGTGTGTGTGTGTGTGTGGATTAATTGATAAATCAACATTTGTTATAAAGGTTCGAATTGCACGAAATGTTAATTATTTCCAAAAAAAAAAAAGGTTTTTAAAAATGTTGATTGGATTATTTAACTTACAAATAAAACGTAAATAATTATCGTGACGTTTAAATTGTTCATTTATATTGACAATTATTACTAGAAATAATTTTTTTCTCAATTAAAATAATCAAAATAAATTCCTTGTCATTAGTAATAATAATAATAATAATAATAAATAAAGAAAATAAATTCAATTGACGTTTATACGAAATGTAAATAATCGTTAGTGAAAATAATATTCATTAAATACAATTATTTATTATTCCCACCCCTCCCCCCCTACCCAGTTGCGCAAATAATTATTAACTTAATACAATATAAATGTTATTTATTATATAATAATACAAAAAAAAAGAACAATACGAGATAAAGATAATAATTAATTAAAAATCAATTCGACTAATGTACAATCTCACAATTCAATCCAAAAACAATAATTTATACTACGATTGACTTTTATTAATGCAACAATTATACGATAATATTATATACATTGTTTTTACTGTATAAACCCTTTTGCCAGTTTAAAGGATACTATTACACCTATATATAATTAAAATATAAATATAATAATTAAATTTAATCAATAATAATTAAAATAAAATATGCATTGCCAATAATTGCATCTAGTAAGTTTGAAAAGTTTTGAGCCTTCAACTGCAACAGAACTAAAAAGTTTTGAATTTTAAAAAAAGGAATAAAAAAACAATTTTAAACTTAAAATAAATTTAAAATAATAAAAAACAATAGAAAATGGAGAAGGGATGTAACAAATCGTAGATCCGAACGGTACGAGTGCAAAGACTCGAATAAAATGTTGGGGTTGTGTGTGAAGAAATTCAATCGAATTGGTTCTCCGGTATAACCGATAGATGGTGCAAGCTCTCGGCGTTCGAAGGAAATCATAATGGCCGACGACGGTTGAGATGCTCCGCCCCTGTCCACGATAGTTTACCCCCACTCACAGTACCACCCGTGAGTTCGTTGCTATGGTAACGAGAAACGCGTCGGCCATTTTGATTAGCCGACCTACCGCAATCCTCTCTTCTCTTCGTTGTGTTAAAACCCCACCAACCCCCGCTGCGATACCCCCACTCCACCCAATCTATAGGTTATGTTTCTCTCCCTCTCCTTTCCCTTCGTCAACCCCCACTCTTTTTATTCCGAGCCCGCTCAAATCGTTCGAATCTCTTGGCGGGCGCTGATATTAACCGTTCCACGCACGAACATTAGAAATTGCTTTTTCATTTTTCTTTTTTTCTTTTTTTCTTTTTTTCTTTTTTTCCTTTTTTTTTTTTTAAAGCATTTCTTTCCGATTCTTTTTTCATGATTACGTAATTATCGTTTCGTTTCTCTAAGAATCCGGTTAGTTGTTCTTGCTCGATTGGTTGGTTGATTTGTTTACAAAAAAAAAAAAAAAAAAGAGTTCGGGTGTCATGCTGAAGTTAGAAATTTAAATGGAATGTATGGATAACTGTTGAACTAAATATTCTTACAATTTATTCATTTAAATCATTCAAACTTTCAAAAAAAAAAAAGAAGAAAATGAAGTTTTGTACTGTACTTTTTCAAAGAACCTGTTTGAAAGTTCAATTATCGAACGTACCAATCGATTTTCAACCCTTTTTCTTTCTTATTATTATTTCGTTTTCTTTTTTTTTTTTTTGAAATACGTCATTTGTTTGATAAAGTGGAAATGAATAAAAAGAAAATATTGGAATTACGTAAGATTGTGTGTCACGCAAGCAACGATTCTGTAATATTTCTAACTCTAACCTGTACAAGTTTCTCTCACGTACATGTTAATATTTTCTTTGAATGTGTGTACACTTTAAAAGATAAATTATTTATATCATACATTTAAATGTGCATGTGTGAGACAAAAGAAAAGAAAAAAAAAGTAAAATGTCGTTTTCTATTTTTTTTGTTTTTTTTTAAATCAACGAATGAAAAACAAAAAAAATAACACACACACRCACGCACACATAAATAAATAAATAATTGTATTGCATATACGCGCAACTTGCAAAAACTCGAGACGATTTTATTCACATTTGGCAAACATTTAAACAATTCTAATTAAATAATTAATTAACTTTGATAACACACAACCGTCGACTAATTTTTGCTGCATCGTAAATACCCCCCCCCTCCCCCACTCCTACCCACACTACGAGTTGTTATACAACAATTCACGTAAAGTTTTTTGTTTGTTTGTTTGTTCGTTTTAATTGTTAGTAACAACAATAATTTTTTTATGCTTGTTTTTTTTCTTCTTATTTTATTTGATTTTTATTATTTCAAGAATATTTTTCTATTTTTATTCATTGAAAAGAGAAGTTTAAAACTTAACCTAAAAATTCACCTAACTTTCTCCCTCCCTCTCTCTCTCTCTTTCTCTCTTACTGTCTCTTTCACGTTTAAAGTTTTCTTAGAAAATATTGAAACGATAGGAAGATAGAAAATATTTTTGTACTTTAATCAAATATCCCTCAAACCCCAACAACCCCAACCACCACCACTTTTTCTATCATTAATCCACATTCAAATCAATTACCAAATTTTTTTTACAATTATCTTTTAAATAACAATAATAATTATTAATTAAATAATATTTTAAATTATTAAAGATTATTAAAAAATTCGTATTTAAAAAAAATAAAATTAATTGAAATAATAATAATAATAATAATTATTATTATTATTATTGTTATTAATTTAAAAAAATAAATTTTAGTGTAGATGATAGAATAATATAATTTTTATCAACTCGTATTATTTTTTAATAACTTTTGTATAATTTTAACATATAAATCGAATATAATATAAAATTTAGCATTCAATTCTTTTATCCCTTCTCCTCCTACCACCCCCCCCCACCCTTGCATACGTTAATATTGCTACTTTTTTTGAACATTCATATATTCTCTCTCTTTTTTTTTCGTTCAACTATCCCTGAATGACGTAGCGAATAGAATTTCTTTCTTTTTTTTTTAACCAACTAACATAGTCGATAGAAAAAATAAAAAGGGAAAAAAAAAAGGTTTAATTTAAAAGCGCGTTTTATTATCGATCCATACGACCAGCACCTAACTATAAATAACCCATCATTCTCAGCTAACCTCTGAGCTATATTTTCTATACAATCTTTCACAAAAAAAAATAAAATAAAATACAGAGAAAAAAAAATTGACTAGTATGTGTGAGAAATTATAATTATACATATCAATGTAACACAAGAGAATTTCAATTAGAAAAATGAACAAAAAAAAAAACAAAATAAATATTAAAATACATCAAAATAATAAAAATTCGAAATACAACAGAAACAAAACCTAACCTAACATTATCAAAAAAGAAAATAAATAAATATTAAAAAATGATAAACTAAAAAAATGGAAAAAAAATAAAAGAAAAAAAGAGAATGAAGGGTGGCATGTGAGGGTGAATGAACAATTAGAAAACTGAAAAAAAAAATATTAAAATACATCAAAATCCAAAAATTCGAATAATCACAAAAACAAAACCAAACCTAACCCTATCAAAAAAAAAAAAATATATTAAAATACATCAAAATACAAAAATTCGAATAACCACAAAAACAAAACCAGACCTAACCCTATCAAAAAAAAAAATGTTAAAAATAATAAATAAAAAAGGGTGAGTAAGAAAGAAGGATGTTATGCGAGGGTGAATAAGTGTTTCTATACAAATATAATATACAAATACAAATATAAAACCTACCCCTATCTAAAAAAACAAAATTCAAACAACAGAAACAAAACAAAACCAAACCAAACCTAACCTTATTCAAAAAAACAAAAAATATTAAAAAATAATAAACAAAAAAATTGAAGACAAAAAAAAAGAGTGAAGGGTAGTATACGAATGAGTATTACTGTACACATATATATATATATATACAAATACAAATACAAAACCTACCCCTATTCAAAAAAACAAAATTCAAACAACAAAAGAAACAAAACAAAACCAACCAACCTACCTCTATCCAGAATAAAAAATATTAAAAAATAATAAACAAAAAATTGATGCAAAGAAAAAAAAAGAAAATAGAAAAGAAGGGTGGTGGTATGCGAGGGTGAATGAGTGTTATTGTCTACTCTCTTGACAGTGATACTTTTTTTTCTTTTTTTTTTTTTT